AAATGTGTGTCTTTCCCTCTCACTTCCACTCCCTCTGAAAATCAATTGAAAAATAACCTTGGGTGAGGATTAACAACAAGAAAGAAACTTAATATGAGGTCCCAGTGCAGCCAAATCCTCATCCAAGAAAGACATCATGACTTTAGTCAACGATAGTGATAAAAGCCCCTACCTTGGATTAGGGGTATACAACTAGGGAAAGGAAAATTATTTCTACACTATTTCTGTTTTCCTTTTAGTGCCTTATACCTAATAAGCAGGGTTTCCTCCCCCTTTTTTCTTTCTTTATTCATGTTGTAGAGGGGAGTGGGAACTATTCTAAACTGCCTATAATTTACTTACGTAGGCACAAAGCACTCTATGGCTACCTTTTCAAAATACCTGTTACACTGGCTTAATGTCTATATTCTCCAGTAACTGTATGATCCACAAGGGTACATACCGTGATGTCTACTACTATATCCTAGAACAGTGCATGGTATTTATCAAGAAAATTTGTAGGATATGTAAATACACAAAAATATTAATATTGGCTGTTAGCTGATGGTGTTATGTATGCTTGTTGTTTTTTTATATATATATATATTTTATTGATTTTTTACAGAGAGGAAGGGAGAGAGATAGAGAGTCAGAAACATCGATGAGAGAGAAACATCAATCAGCCGCCTCCTGCACATCTCCTACTGGGGATGTGCCCACAACCCAGATACATGCCCCTGACCAGAATCAAACCTGGGACCCTTGAGTCCACAGGCCGATGCTCTATCCACTGAGCCAAACCAGTTTCGGCGTTATGTATGTTTTTACATGTCTCAAATTTCCATACTTTTTAAATTAAATTAAATAATGTTTATAATAAAAATTAATAAAGGAAAGCATACAGGTAGTTGAATGTTTGCCAAAAAAAAAAAATTAAATCCAGCGTTCTTGCCGTAACCGGTTTGGCTCAGTGGACAGAGCGTCAGCCTGAGGACTGAAAGGTCCCAGGTTCAATTCTGGTCAAGGGCATGTACCTTGGTTGTGGGCACATCTCCAGCAGGAGGCAGCTGATCGATGTTTCTCTCTCATCGATGTTTCTAACTATCTCTTTCCCTTCCTCTCAGTAAAAAATCAATAAAATACATTTTTTTTTAAAAAATCCAGCGTTCTTCAGGTGACATACCCCAATTACAAGATATATAAAAACTGTATTACCACAGGTCTTTCCTTTCTAATCAATCTAGTTCTCAAAAAAAAATTTACAAAATTTTATGGCTTCAAAAAGAGAGACAGAACCAGGTGTTTAAAATACAAATATTTTTAAACACTTATTTTTGTAGGTATGGGTCAGTGGATAGAGTGCCAGCCCGCAGACTAAAGGGTCTTGGGTTTGATTCTGGTCAAGGGCACATAACTCAATTACAGGATCGATCCTGGCCCTAGTCAGGGCACATATGGGAGGCAACCAATCGACGTTTCTCTCTCACATTGATGTTTCTCTCTGTCTCTCCCTCTCCCTCCCACTCTTTCTAAAAAAATATTCTCGGGTGAGGATTAACAACAACAAAAAAGTGGTAATTACTCAATAAAGTTTATTTTTTAAAAATAAAATAAAATGCAATTATTTTTATATATCTTTTATTATTATAAATCTTAATATTACATAATTGATAAGTTATTTTCTTATATGAGTTTAAACCAGTTTTCATATCTTGATAGTTTTTACTTGATTCTCAGGTTCATAATACTAAATTTTAGATTACTTTATATTACATTAACTAACATATAAATTTTATATCCTCTGTATTTGGAAAAATTCCCAATTCAAATTCTATCAATCTCTTACTAAGAACACACACTTAGTACTATAGAAACATTAAAGCTCATTTTTATTTACCAAAGGTCTCATGAGCCTACAGAACAAGTTGATGAAATCCCTCAAGAGGATGTAATAGCAAATAATCCCCATTTCCACCTTTTAGATTTTTACCAAGTAACCAACTTCTAAACATAATTTACATATTATATTGTTTACAATTATTAAACATCATGAGTTTAAAAACAGATTTTGAGTTTGAGACAGGGGTCAGCAAATATTTTTCTGTAGAGGTTCAGATAGTAAATATTTTAGGCTTTGAAGGCCACAAGATCTATGTCACAACCGCTCAATTCTGTTATTACAGTGATGGAAGCTGCTATAGATGAGATGTAAATGAATAAGTGTAAGGGCATGTTTCAATAAAACTTTATTTATAAAAATGAGCAGCAGGCCCAGTCAGTGCAGTTCAGTGGTTGATCGTCCACCCATGCACCAGGAGGTCCCAGGTTCAATGCCTGGATTATGGGCTGCATCCCCAGTAGGGGATGTGTGGGAGGCTGCCAACCGACATTGATGCATCGATGTTTCTATCTCTCTCTCTCCCTTTCTCTCTCTCTAAAATCAATAAAAACATATTTTTTTAAATGAGCAGCAGGCCAGATTCATTCCTTGGGCCCTAGTTTGCTGACCCCTGGTTTAGAGTATTATACCTTCCAGCTCTGCTCATATAAAAGTAGTATAGGTTTTCTCTCTTGCTTATTATTTTAATGGCAATTCCCACATTTAAGCACTATCCATTCATTCACTTATTCTATAGATTTTTACCAAGTGCCTACTATGTGCCAGAAACAATAATAGGTGTTGTTATAAATAAATAAAATAAAATCCCAACCTCTTAATACTTACATTCTAATAGGGAAATCAATAAATAAACAAGCTAATAAGTACATAATATAATTTCAAGTAGTGCTAAATATGAAGAAAACTAAAGCAAAGTAAAAAGGGTGGGGAAGGAAAGGTGAGACTCTTTGGATAGATCAGGGAGACCTAATAGGAAATCACTTTTAAGTAGAGAATGAATGAAGCAAGTGAACAATGCATATAATATCTGGGGGAAGGGCATTACAGGCATATGGAAGAGCATCCGCAAGGGCCCTAAAGCAGTGAGGCCCAGAAATCAGGATTTTAAAAAGATTCCCAGGTGATTCTAATGTGCAGCCAAGGTTGAGAACCACTGCCCTAAAGAGATTCAGAAAGCTAAGATGTTTGAATAAAGACAAGATAAACCTGGGGGATAAAAGGATCACTGGTAGCTGTTCTGAGAATACACTGCAGGGGGCAGAAGTGAAACAGGAAGACCAATCCTAAGCTGTTGCGTGCATTTCTAAACTTCTAAAATGGTATACAGATATATATAGATAGGTATAGATACACATATAGATATAGATACATATCATATAATGTTTTTAGATAGGAAGGGAAAGGGGAGGAGAAGGGGCGATTGAGGGGGGCTAGGAGAGAGGGAGCGGGAGAGGGAGAGGGAAACACCCATGAGAAAGAAACATCCATCAGTTGCCTCCCCTACACGCTCCAATAAGGGATGGAACTCCCAACCTAGGTTAGTGCCCTGACCAGGAATCGAACTCGCAATCTTTTGGTGTAGGAAGAACGCTCCAACCAAATGAGCCACCCGGCCAGAGCTAAACAGTTTTGAAAAACAGCTAACAATTGTAAAAGCATAGCAGATGAAATTTTTTTAAATAGATTTTATTGATTTTTTACAGAGAGGAAGAGAGAGGGATAGAGAGTTAGAAACATCCATGAGAGAGAAACATCGATCAGCCACCTCCTGCACACCCCCCACTGGGTATGTGCCCGCAACCAAGGTACATGCCCTTGACCGGAATCGAACCTGGGACCCTTCAGTCCTCAGACCGGCGCTCTATCCACTGAGCCAAACCGGTTAGGGCAGCAGATGAAATTTTAACATTGACTTTCATCAAAGTAAGTGTGACTTTAGTCTAACTGCTTAAGACTCCATCCATGAGCCTGTTTCCTAATCTTTAAAACGGATGCCCACCATAAAGGTGTTTGCAAGGAACAAATTAAATAACATGTAAAACGGCTAGTACAGTTCCTAACACACAGGAGGCCCACAAAAATCAAAAATCATCTTTACAGTCTTATTTCTACACTAGATTCATGCCTATGACTAGCCCTCAGTCTAGACCAGTGTTGTCCAAGGCCGCGGCCATTACCACATGTGATTACCGAGCATTGGAAAGGTGGCAGGTCCAAGTGGATATGTGTTTTAAGTGTAAAATACAGACTTAGTGAAAAAATAATATAAAATATCTTATAACTACTGTACATTGATTACATGTAAGGAGACAATACTTTGAATATACTGGGTTAAACTTTTTCAGTTAACCACCTTTTTTTTTTTTAACTTGATTTATGTGGCTACCAGAACTGTTTTAAAAAATATATTTTATTGATTTTTTACTGAGAGGAAGAGAGAGGGATAGAGAGTTAGAAACACCGATGAGAGAGAAACATCGATCAGCTGCCTCCTGCACATCTCCTACAGGGGATGTGCCCGCAACCAAGGTACATGCCCTTGACCGGAATCGAACCCGGGACCCTTCAGTCCGCAGGCCGACGCTCTATCCACTGAGCCAAACCGGCCAGGGCCAGAACACTTTTAAGTATATACTTAGCTCTCGTTACATTTCTACCGGGCAGATATGCTCTCAGCCACACGGTGGACTCCCTGACAGGGGTTCAATCCGGCCCAGGCCCCCCTAATCCCGGCTCACATTAACGCTCCCCACTTCTACCGCACGGGGAAGCCTGACCGTGTAATCGCTCTTAATTTTTAAGTGTGGAGCCCACAGATCCGCCGAGACAACTCGAGATTGTTACCTACAGAAGAGATGTGTCTCTAGAGAAAACCCCAGCGTCCCCTCTCGCGGGCGCCGGTCGGCATGGCTGGAGGGGCTGGGGCTTGAGCAGAAAGGGGTCGCCCTTCAGGAGCGAGAGGAGAGGACGGAGCCCGCGCCCGGGTCTGCAGGCGCCCTGCGGCGCCCACGGAGAAGTCCGAAGAGGAAAGCCTTCCCAGCTCGGGGGGCGGGCGGGGGACGAGTCTGAAGCGGGGAGAGGGGCTGGGCTCTGAGGCGGGGGCTGCAGGGAAGAGCGGTACCTTAAGAATCCCCCGCATCTTCGCCAGAAAAGGCCGGAACTCCTCCGGGGGCACCTCGGGGTAGAGCTGGCTCCGCAGCAGCTCCTCGGTAACGCCCGGGTGCCCGTGGAAGTCCTTCTGGGCCAGGCCGCTCAGCAGCCCGCTCAGGGACTTGCAACTCTCCAGCTCGCCCGCCATTGTCATGGAGGCCCCGCCCCCAACAGCTGAGCGCAGCCCCGCGTGGACGGCGGCCTGGACGGGCCCAAATAGCCCCCGCGGAGGCGCAGGCGGAGGCGGAGGCGGGAGCGGAGGCGGGAGCGGAGGCGGGGGCAGGGGCGCCCGATGGGTTTGGAAGCCAGGTTCCGGGAGGAGACTGTGATGTCAGCGGCCAGCTCTCCTCTGCAAAACCCATCCTCTTAGAGCAGTGATCCTCAACCTTCCTAATGCCGCGACCCTTTAATACAGTTCCTCATGTTGTGGTGACCCCCCCAACCATAAAATTATTTTCGTTGCTACTTCATAACTGTAATTTTGCTACTGTTATGAATCGTAATGTAAATATCTGTTATGCAGAATGTATTTTCATTGTTACAAATTGAACATAATTAAAGCATAGTGATTAATCACAAAATATGTAATAATACATATATATGTTTTCTGATGGTCTTAGGCATCCCTGTGAAAGGATCGTTGAGAACCCCTGCCTTAGAGTTTTGCAGTCCATTCAGTTGCAGAAGGATCATCTTGCTTCCGCGGATTTCCTTCATCACTGCAGGGCCCACGCAGAGGCAAGAACACTTAGCGATCACTTGAGATAGGGTTGCGTCCTATGAAAGTGTCAGTTTAACTTTTGGGTGACTGCATCTCATTCCAGACCTTACCAGTCTACTAACTGAATAGAATCTATCACTCAGATCTAATCTCTGCCTAATCCTTACCTGTCCAAGAAAATTTAACTATCCCCTGATAACAATGCCTTTGCTTGGATTGTTACTTGCCTTTTTATGTCATTAATCTTTCCAGCTAGATCAGTGCCTCTGATCCAATGCTCCTTTCCATAATAAATATTTTGTCAACATCTTTACTGTCCTGAAATGACATGCATGATAATATAGTTATCTACCCATATAATTTCAAAAATTCCATATATTGTTCACCATAAAATGGAACGCCATACTGATAGGTGCGACAACATGGACGCACCTTTAAAACATGCTAAGTAGCCCTAGCCGCTTTGGTTCAGTGGATAGAGCCTCGGCCTGCGGACCAAAGGGTCCCTGTTCTGAAAAATTCGGGTCAAGGGCAGGTACTTTGGTTGCAGGCTCCTCCCCGCGCTGTTGTTCTGGTTGAGGCTCCTGCTGGAAGCAACCAATCCATGTGTTTCTCTCACAGCGATGTTTCTCTTTGTTTTTCCCTCTCTCTTCCACTCTCTCTAAAAAAAAATCAATGGAAAAATATCCTCAGGTGAGGATTAACAAAAAAATAAATAAAATAAAAATAAAACATGCTAAGTAAAAGAAGATAAACACAAAATGATAGCAATTATATGATCCCATTATATGAAATGTCCAGAATAGGCAAATCCATACAGACAGAAAGTAGTTCAATGGTTGCCAGAGACTAGAGAAAGGAAGAATGACATTAATGGGTACTGGATTTCTTTTAGGGAGGTGATGAAAATGTTCTAGATTAGAATTATACTAGTAGGTAGTGGTTATGATTATGCAACTTTGTGAATATAATAAAATCCACTGAATTGTACTCTTTAAGGGATCTTTTACAGTATGTGAATTATATCTCAATTTAAAAATCAATATAAAAGCCTAATTGTAATTTAGAATAAAAATAAAAGGACATTTACAGGGAACTCATGCAACTTAACAATAGGAAGATAAATAATCCAATCAAAAAATGGGCAACGGACCTAGATACTTTTCGAAAGAGGACATACAGAAGGCCAAAAGACATATGAAAACATGCTCACAGTCACTAATTATACGAGAGATGCAAATCAAAACAACAATGAGGTACCATCTCACACCTGTCAGAATGGCTATCATCAACAAATCAACAAACAACAAGTGTTGGAGTGGATGTGGAGAAAAAGGAACCCTTTTGCACTGCTGGTGGGAATGCAGACTGGTGCAGCCACTGTGGAGAACAGTATGGCGTTTCCTCAAAAAACTAAAAATGGAACTCCCATTTGACCCAGTGATTCCACTTCTAGGAATATATCCCAAGAAACCAGAAACACCAATCAGAAAGGATATATGCACCTCTATGTTCATAGCAGCACAGTTCACCGTAGCAAAGATCTGGAAACAGCCTAAGTACCCATCAGCAGATGAGTGGATTAGAAAACTGTGGTACATCTACACAATGGAATACTATGCTGCTGTAAAAAAGAAGGAATTCTTTTTTTTTTTTTTTTAATATATTTTATTTATTTTTACAGAGAGGAAGGGAGAGGGATAGAGAACCAGAAACATCGATGAGAGAGAAACATCGATCAGCTGCCTTCTGCACACTCCCCACTGGGGATGTGTCCGCAACCAAGGTACATGCCCTTGACCGGAATCGAACCTGGGACCCTTGAGTCCGCAGGCCGATGCTCTATCCATGGGGCCAAACCGGTCAGGGCAAGAAGGAATTCTTACCATTTGCAACAGCATGGATGGAACTGGAGAGCATTATGCTAAGTGAAATAAGCCAGTCAATGAAAGAAAAATACCACATGATCTCACTCATTTGTGGATTATAGAGAACAACATAGACTGATGAACAGGGACAGATCCAAAGACAGAGAAACAGCGATCAGACTATCACTCCCCAGAGGGAAAGTAGGGGAGGGAGGGGGTAAGGGGAAGAGATAAACCAAAGGACTTGTATGCATGCATATAAGCCAAACCAATGGACATGGACACCAGGGGGATGAGAACATGAGTGTGTGTGTGTGTGGGGGGGGGGTTGGGGGTTAATGGGGGATGAGGACACATTTGTAATACCTTAACCAATAAAGAAATTTTAAAAAAATAAAAGGAAATTATAATATATGTTTTTCAATGTGTATTTGGGCACAACTACACTAGGTGACTAAGAAACATGAAGTAGCCCGATGCCTGGATCTGTATGTAGAACCACCTGTGACTTCCAAAAATATAAATACAGGTATGTGTTAGGTCACACGTTCCTTCTTCGGCGACCTAACAGTATGCTGTATTGGTGACTACAGAGAGAGAAAGAAAAAGAAAGAGAGAGAGAGGTTGCCACTGTTAATTTGGTCTGAAATATGAACAATGGTTCGTAAAATTCAGAATAAAAAACATTCTTCTCTTACTTTACCTAGTAATTGCAAACCAAGAATGTTCCAGGTATTTTAAAGTCATACTAACAACGCACTGTATTTATATTTAAGATGGAGTTAGATTTGAGGTTCAGACAATAACAAACAGGTAGATTTTCACTTACGTGAATATCCCCTATACAGCCTGAGCCAGTCCTCCTCTGTTATTGTGAAAATTGAAATACCCCTGTTGGTGTGGTTGAGCATAGAACTATGAACTGGGAGATTCCTGGTCAGGGCACATACCCAGGTTGCAGGCTCAATCCCCAGAAGGAGGTGTGCAGATAGCAGCCGAATGATGTTTCTCTCTTATCAATGTTTGTATCTCTCACTCCCTCTCCATTCCTCTCTTTATAAAAATACATAAAAACATTATTTAAGCCCTAACTGGTTTGGCTCAGTGGATAGAGTGTCCGCCTGCAGACTCAAGGGTCCCGGGTTCGGGACCTTGGTTGCGGGCACATCCCCAGTTGGGGGTGTGCATGAGGCAGCTGATTGATGTTTCTCTCTCATCGATGTTTCTGGCTCTCTATCCCTCTCCCTTCCTCTCTGTAAAAAATCAATAAAATATATTTAAAAAACAAAAAAACAAAACATTATTTTAAAAAATCACTACTCTAGACTGCTATAATTAATGTTTATCCAGTGTTTGCCTGAAGTCAAGAGGCATTCTTTATAATAGAAAAGATATAAGATATTTCTTCCCCTAAAGCAGGGTGTGGGGCTTCCAGGAGGCAGCTATCAGTGACTTTCTCATCACTGATGTTTCTCTCTCTCTCTCCCTCTTCATTCCTCTCTGAAATCAATAAAAATATATTTTAAAAAAATAAGTCAGCTATATTTGTTCAAACATTTTTAAAAATATGTTTCTATTGATTTCAGAGAAAGAAGGGCATATTTTCTTCTGTCTGGTTATCTGATTTTTCTAAGCATCTACAGTGTACATGTAATACCATTGTGATAAAAAGTTATATAGTGAGTCCAGCCTTTGTCACTCAGTGGTTAAGTGTCAGCCCTTGAACCAGGAGGTCATGGTTCAATTCCTGGTCTGGGCACATGCCCAGGTTGCAGGTTCCATCCCCAGTAGGGGATGTGCAGGAGGCAGCCGATCAGTGACATTTCTCTCATCAATGTTTTTATCTGTCTACTACTCTCCCATCCTCTCTCTAAAAAATTAATAAAGATATATATATTTAAAATTGTTTTAAGTTATATAATGAAACATAAAATAGTTATCCTAAAATGAAACTTATTTTAATGAAAAGCTTTAAAAGAACATGTTCTACATGACTGAGAAAAGCTATGCACTTTACATAGTGTTTCATAAATGTTTTGATAATATTAGATACTTTCAGAATCTGATAGAAGCCTAAGATACTTTCCCCTCAAAATGCAAATCTACACCAAATGTAGCTTACAACATCTAGAGGTTAATTTAACCCTCTGAAGTATTTTATAGACCTCCTAGTTTTACACTTGTCCTAAGAACCCCTTCTCAGTACTCCCAGTTCTAATTAAAACTCATAGGAAATAGATTACTCTTTTACAAGCAGGCGGGTGGGGAGGCAATCCTGTATATCACTATCATCGTCTAACTCCTATTCCAATGTAGGTAATACATGAACATATCACTGCCTGCCTGAGCCTACAGCAAACTCCAAAACACCAGTGATCACTAAAATAAAATCATCCTGTGCCACCAGGGGCTGCTATTGCCAATGTAACTGTTCGAGGTTGGTCACAGCCGCATTTTCAGAATGCATTTGTAACAAGAGGATCAGAGCACAAAGTTTTATTAAACCTCAAAACCTGTTTCAACAAACAAACCTGGGCATAGGCCTATTGAAAGGATTGTTTACGGTGAGGCAACAGCAAAGAAAAAAACCTGAAGCCTTGGGGCAAAGAGAAAGGATGAGCACCTAATAGCTGCTCACCTGGTAAACAGGTTTCCCTTTCATGGTTGCCAAATAGGTTTCCATTTAACGTTCCATTAAAAACTGGTAGCTTCTCCTATTCAATTACCTTTTTATGGTTCATAGGCTGTTTGGTCCCAGGCCAGAAATGCGTGTTTTGTTTTGTTTTTTTAAATGTATTTTTTTATAGATTTCAGAGAGGAAGGGAGAGGGAAAGAGATAGAAACGTCAATGATGAGAAACATCAATCGACTGCCTCCTGCACACCTCCCACTGGGGATCAAGCCTGCACCCCGGGCATATGCCCTTGACCAGAGTCAAACCCGGGACCCTTCAGTCCACAGGCCAACGCTCTAACCACTGAACCAAACCAGCCAGGGCAGAAATACGTGTTTTTTAATAAGGTTTTCCATATCTGAAAACATTAAAATTTAAAATGTGGACCAAAATAATGTGCAAACACAGGGCCTCCAAAGTTTTGCAATAGACTCGCCCTGTTCCCTGTCTCTACTCCTCCTTTTTCATTTCTGTTTTAATTACCGTTCACTCTCCACTCGACCAGCTACTCAACAGATATTAGTTGAGAACTTTGGGCCAATCATTCTGTTAGGTTCCACAGCATACAGAATCAAATAAGACAGTCTGCCCTAAAATCTTATATGCTGGTAAGGAAAAATAAGTAAATAAAGGTTAGCAGAATATGTCACCCTAAAATGCCACTCTGATATGGAAATTATTTTTTAGCTGAAGGCAACTGAGAAGAAGCAGATACAAGAAAAGCTCTATGCACTCCTATTTGCCTAAAAGCAGGACATACATTTTCAAAGGTGTCCCATCTGCTCTGCCTACCAAGAACAAAAGTCAATCCCAGGAGACAACTTTAAACCCTTATCAAAAGAAAAGGCCTTCATTTAAATCTGCATAACAAACCTTACTCATGTTTATCTTGCAGTTCCTGGTCATTTCCCCATCACTTGTCTTCCTGACACCTTTCTTTCCTCTTTGGCTGAAGATGGTACAAAAATTGGATTTCTAAGCCACCACTTTGAGTTACTCATTTTCCATAGGCATCTCAAATGTATACATAAACAAATGGTTAAAATGCAATGAACTAAGTGTTGTTAGAACCTAGAAAGAACTATCAGATTATCAGATCTGGTGGTGGAAGAAAAAATTAACTCAGCTTCAGGGGGTCAAATAGAGGCTTAATGGTGAATAGTGTTGGAGGAGGTGATTGAGAGGACATGACCACTGGTTGACCTTAGAGCTGGACCAGGGCAATCACTTTTTTCCCTATCCTTGGAATGTATGTTCTGCTTATAATTTCCACAATAGGAGCTGCTCCAAGGACATTGCCTTGAGAGTAAGGTGTTGAGATCATCTGGACAATATACATGACTGAGCCCAGATAAGGCCTTTATATACACTAAGATTCTGGTGGGCAGGTGTAGAGATGTACTTGTCTTGTGACTCCCTCTCCCCCCAAGACAAGCCTCATTAAGTTCCTTTGCTTATTAAAACTACCACCTACCTATCTGGAGTGGCTGCTTCCTTCTTCAGTCTCTTCCTACTCTCCTTGTGGGAGGGGGAAGGGGGAAAGGGGGTGCTGGTTTTAGATTTCACCCAGGAAACTCCTGAGGTTGCAAGCCAACAAGTAGCTCAACATGTTGCAGCGGAAACAGTGTGTCCCTGTGTTTGGAGGCATTAAAATCAGTAGTGTGTTAAGGCACAGCATGAATCTCATAGTGTAATGATGGGGTTCAGAACACACTACCCCAAAATATGGCACTATGGCATATTGAATATTTGAAGGAACACAAGAAACAAAATTTGGGAAATGACAGGTGCGAGAACTCTCTGACCTTTCCCTTCTCCCCTAAAGCAGGTCATAAGATCCTCATGTGAGAGGTGCCCTTTCTATACCCAGAGCATTCTTATCTCCAAAGATGAGGAATGCCAAGAGGAATCTGAATGAACAGGCCTTGCTAAGTTTTTCCAGATTACTATCTTTAACTCATATCCTTGTCCTATTGTTGGCAGTGAAATAGTGTACTAGATGTTACGTAAAGTCAGACTGGACCTCAGTTCAGCAACCTCAGTACTTGAATTCTACGAAAAAATCCAGAGCCAACACTCAAACTATAAGCAAAAGTTTATTTAGAAAGCCACAGAGGTAGAAGTGATCTATAGAAGAAATGGGTTCAGAAAACAAATTATAGCTTTTTACGAAGATGGTGCCGAAAGCTAAGAAGGAAGCCCCTGCCCCTCCCAAAGCCGAAGCCAAAGCAAAGGCATTGAAGGCAAAGAAAGCAGTGTTGAAAGGCGTCCACAGCCACCAAAAAAAGAAGATCCGCACCTCACCCACTTTCCGACGGCCAAAGACACTAAGGCTCCGGAGGCAGCCTAAATACCCTCGGAAGAGCGCACCCAGGAGAAACAAGCTTGACCACTATGCCATCATCAAATTCCCCCTGACTACCGAGTCAGCCATGAAGAAGATAGAAGACAATAATACACTAGTGTTCATTGTGGATGTCAAGGCCAACAAGCACCAGATCAAACAGGCTGTGAAGAAGCTCTATGACACTGATGTGGCCAAGGTCAACACCCTGATCAGGCCTGATGGCGAGAAGAAGGCATATGTTCGACTGGCTCCTGACTATGATGCTTTGGATGTTGCCAACAAAATTGGAATCATCTAAACTGAGTCCAGCTGCCTAATTCTAAATATAAAAATTTTACACTGTAAAAAAAACCAAAAAACAAAAAAACAAAAACAAATTATAGAGCCAAAAGAAGGGATCCTTAGAGCTTAGGCGAGAGAAGGGTGACTGGGAAAGGTGCTGGCTTGCCTGAAAGGGAGAGAGCCCTCGGTCCTCCATCCTTAAGGCTTTTAAAAATATATATGCATATTTTTTTATTGATTTCAGAGAGAAAGGGAGAGAGAGAGAGAGAAACATCAATGATGCGAATCATTGGTCGTCTCTTTTGTACGCCCCTTACTGGGAGTTGAGACCGAAACCCGGGCATGTGCCCTGACCAGAAATCAGTCTGTCACATCCAGGTTCGTAGATCGATGTTCAATCACTGAGCCACACCAGCCAGGCCATCCTAAGGGCTTTTAAGGGTGAGGATTTTAAGGAGGTCCCCGGGGAGGATCTCAAGAGACTATCCATCAATTTTCCAGGTGTGTCCTTTCAGGGTTGTCTCCACTGATTGGTTGGCACCAGTGCAGGGGGTCATTAGTCAATGTAGCTGGTTCTGATGTCAGCCATGGCAACACTTACCTGATCTTGCTGTGTTTTTTTTTTGGGGGGGGGGGGCTAGAGCTGAAACACAAGTGAGGCCTAGATGTTATCTCCAGGAGTTAATGCTTAAGAAAGTGGTTGTGCAAGGGCCCAGATGGGATTTGCATGAGGCCACTCTTCGGCTCCTTGTTCCTCCTCTAGGGCGTCTACTACATGACTACCAACATACCAGGGGAGGAAAGGTCAGGGGAGGGTCTGAGCTGCATGACCAGGATATGAAAGTTCAGGGGGTCTAAACCAACTGACCAGCCGCTTGCTAGGGGAGGAAGGATTACCCTAGGAGAGGAAAGATTACCCTAGGGTCGAGGGCCTTGTTTTCCCAGTTTCACCCATTACTAGGCACCTCCGCCCTGGTGACCTTCTGTACTTGGCCCACGGTCCTTGGTCTGCTCACTCTGTCTAACTGCCTACCACACTATCATATTTCCCCACAACTTTCCACTCATCAAATCTAGCATAAAACGCTCAGGTTTAACCACTTTTCAGGTGTTCATTTCCTCACCAAGGTTCCCATGTCACATAAAACTTATATTAAATAAATATGTGTGCTTTTCTCTTGCTAATGTCTTTTGTGACAGAGCGCCAGTCAAGAATCCAAGAAGGTAGAAGAAAAGATCTTTTCCTGCCCTAGCCGGTTTGGCTCAGTGGATAGAGGACCAAAGGATCCCGGGTTCAATTCCGGCCAAGGGCACATACCTTGGTTGCAGGCTCCTCCTTGGGCCCAGGGCTCGTGCAGGAGGCAATCATATGTTTCTCTCACATCGATGCTTCTCTGTCTTTCCCTCTCTCTTCCACTCTCCCTAAAAATCAATGGAAAAAATATTATCTGGTGAGGATTAAAAAAAAAAATCTTTTCCTGCCCTACAGTAGCAAACGTGGACCAGGAGCCCAAAGTTATAAACCTGAAAAGGTAAACAGGACCTGGGTCAGAGAAATGGGTATTTTACACATAAAGCGGACATTTATACTTGGTTGTTGAGGAGTTACTGAAGGTTTTAAGTAAGGGAGTAATAACATCCCATTTGAGTTTGTGGAAAACAAACTGGAGGAGCAGGAAAAGCCAAAAGTTAGACCATCACAGCAATGAAATAGATGATCATGTGGGTCTAAGGCAGGGGCACTTAGGTTGCAGAATAGAGATTCCTGATATTAAGAATGTGAAATGATGCCCAGTAGGTGTGGCTCAGTGGTTGAGCGTGACCTATGAACCCGAAGGTTAAGTTGGATCCCTGCCGCCGGGCACATGCCTGGGTTACCCCAGGATCCCCAGAAGGGGGCATGCAGGGGACTGACAGCCATGAATGATTCTCATCATTGATGATTCCATCTACCTCTCCCTCTCCTTTCCTCTCTGAAATCAATAAAAAAAAATTTTTTTTTTTAAAAAGGCAAAATTCGCAGGCTTTAGATGAGGGAAGGGAGAGCAGAATAAAAGGAAGTTATTTCACAGGATTGTTGTGAGGATTAAAAGCGCTAGAGGGTGTAACGGGATTAGCATTGGGCGGGACTGAATGATCGTCATTAAAATGACTCCGAGAACCAGTGTCCATATAATGTAGTAAAAACTAGTGCAGCCGAAACCGGTTTGGCTCAGTGGATAGAGCGTCGGCCTGCGGACTGAAAGGTCCCAGGTTCGATTCCGGTCAAGGGCATGTACCTGGGTTGCGGGCACATCCCCAGTAGGAGATGTGCAGGAGGCAGCTGATCGATGTTTCTCTCTCATCGATGTTTCTAACTCTCTATCTCTCTCCCTTCCTCTCTGTAAAAAATCAATAAAATATATATTAAAAAAAAAAAAAAAAAAAACTAGTGCAAAACGAGGGCGTTGTATATCGACTAGTGAAGCAGCCCTGATCGGGGAGGCAAGCACAGCTCCAAAACGTTTAAGATTCTCTACCATTTAACGAGGGTGTATTTTAATCTATAACTACCATTCAGTATCAATCAGCAGGAGACAACCAGCCCTAACACTTCACGCAAAGGAAACCAGACGCACATCTCAAATCTCTCTCCTCCGATTCCCTTTCAAAATGAGTAAAATAAAAAAATACACGGCCTGACAAAACCCGGCTCAGCCCAAAGCGGTAGGGAGCAATCCAGGCGCGAACTACACCTCCAGTGAAGGGACCTCACAGCCGAGGACCCGGAAGTGGGAGATAGGGGTGTCCCAACGCGCGCCTTTAAAATAGAGGGTTGTCCTCTCTACCACACAGGAGTTAGCCCCGCCGCGGCCCCCACCCGACCTCCGACCCCCAGCGTCGGAGGTCGACATCCTCTGCAAGCCCAGAAGTCCCCGGTGCAGTCCCGTCATCGGGCGGGCGGCGGGCAGCCTGCTACGTCACGCCGGCGCCGCGCCGCCAGGCAGGCCCTCTTCTCCGTCTCCGCCCCCTCCTCCTCCCGGAGCAGGCGCTGCATTCTGGAAGGTTCGTGAAGGCGTTGGGCGCGTTCTCTTACTTCGCAGCCGGCCAGAATCCGCGTCCATCCGACCTTCCCGAGCCCCACGCAGACCCAGCCCAGCTCGCCATGCCCGAGAACGTGGCACCCCGGAGCGGGGCGCCCGCCGGGGCTGCCGGCGGCCGCTACAAAAGCGCCTATCAGGACCGGGATAAGCCGGCCCAGATCCGCTTCAGCAACATCTCCGCGGCCAAAGGTATCGCTCCCGGGGCCTAGCCCGCGGCCCTACGGGGTCGGGCTCTGCGTTCTCGCCCTGCTTTTGGGTGGTCATGGTTCAGTGGTCCCCTCTTGTCCTTAAGGAGCGGCAGTCCCGTGAGAGGATCCTATTATTTCCTGCCGATAACTCTCGACCCGGAGTATGGATTTTCCGCATTCCGGGACCTGGACGCCCGTAGTTGTTCAGCCTGTTCACCACGCTTGTAGCGGTCCCTGGGGTTCTGACAGTTAAGCCCTGTCGCTGATCTGCCTATTGGTCCCACTAGTAAAATGTCTGCACGATACTTACCAGTTCTCTTGTTCTTATAAAAATAACATTTAAATAAGTTTTCCTCGCTCAGCTGTTGAGTCGAATTGGACAAGCTCTTCACGCCGAAGTTGGGGCGGGGCCCTTCGTGTTGGGCTGTGGGGAACAGATTTGCCCGTTTTGCTTGGGAGTAATTGTGGAAAGCTACATTGTGCGTTTATGTTCTCTAGGCATGTGCAACCCAACACAAGCAAACCAGGAAACATGAACAGTTTGCCAGAGTTGGATTTTTGGGTAGAACACTTTGGCCATCGAGACTCCGTTGCCGTTACTTCGTGGCTTTGTAACCTGTAATCTCTAGGCGAGGCTTTCTTACCTATAAAGTTGGGGAGAAAAATGTTTCTTAGTAGAGTTGTGAGGATTAAGAGAAATCTAATTCAGATAGATTCTGGAAGGAAAGGTGAGAACAAGGCTTAAGAGATTGTGATGTGTATTGAGGAAAAGTGAGTATTTCATTCGGGTTAGAAAAAGAGCAGGAGAAAAGAGTTGGGGGGGGGGGAATGATCATGAAAGTGAGATGGGAAGGATAGGGTTGGGCCAAATCTTGAAGGGCCTGGTGTCCTGGAGAGGATTTGCACAACTGCCCTGGCTAGAAACCATTTCTCAGTAGAATGAGTTAAAGCTAAACTAGCAGGGTTGCTGTGGGCATTAAGTAAGAAAGCGTATGAAGAGCCCCATATATAAAATACAGCCTTAAAAATAAAATAAAATAAAATACAGCCTTACAAATACGTATTTGTGGTCGTCGTCTGAAGGGACTGAGGGTGTGACGATGCTAAAGAAACAGATACAGCAGGCCCTCGAGTAATGCTTTGTTCAATGTGGTTTCTTTATATTGTTGATACAGATGCCCTAGTAACTTACCTGTTGCGTTTATCAATTCGCCTGTGGTAAAATTGGTTTCCTTATATGTCATTTGGCTGTAATTCCAAGAACCTATCAATGACATTGAGGACTTGCTGTGCACTGGAGGAAGGGTGGTGGAATAAGAATAGGTTCGGATATGGGCCTGATGAGTTGGGGAGGTCAAAATGACCAGGTGAGTAGATTTAGGGAGTCATTTGGAAATTCAGGAGAGAATATACCTGGAAGTAAAGATGGGGTAGGTAGTTATCTAGGGGGCATGGTGGAAGCTTAGATTTATTATGTTAGAAACAAGATGTTAAATTCTGGGGCCATGTGGAGGGCCAAAAGAGCTATATAATAAGATTTTAAACAAACAAGGAAGATACAGCATGGAAGGTTTACTTAGGTGACCTTTGAAACAGCAGTGAACAGAGAATTGAAACTGGACAAGGGAAATATGCATGTGGGGAAGAGAGACCACCTAGAGACTCAGAGCAAAATAACACAGCTAGTCTTTCCAAGTCAGACAAAACTTACAAACTAATTGAGAAAAGCTGCTGCAATGTGCATCTTTAGTTAAATTCAGGGAGCCAGTTTTTTATATATATATATATTTTTTTTTTT